TGTCCAAAGAAAAAACTGCTTTCACAACGCCGTTTGGATTACACCAATTTGTTACTCTTCCTTTCGGGTTTGTTCAGGGCCCCAGCAACCTTCCAGCGCCTGATGGACAGAATTCTCCGGCCGCATACAGCATATGCCTGGCAGCGGCATATGCAGTATTTGCGAGCTGTCCTCAGGACGCTGCGAGGGGCGGGGCTCACGGCCAACCCAAAGAAGTGTGCAATTGGGCGTGTGGAAGTTAGGTATCTGGGCTTCCACTTGGGTCATGGACAGGTGCGTCCCCAAATTGATAAGAGGGCAACAGTTGCGACCTGTCCGAGACCTAAGACCAAAAAGGAGGTTAGACAGTTCCTGGGGCTAGCAGGATATTACAAGAGGTTTGTGCCTAATTAGTCGGACCTTGCTAGCCCGCTGACTGATCTGATTAAAAAGGAAGCACCAGATACCGTCCAGTGGACGGAGCAGTGTCAGCAGGCTTTTACCCAGATAAAGGCTGCTCTATGTGGCGGACCACCCCTACAGGCTCCTAACTTTTCTCTCCCTTTTCAGACTGATCTCATGAAGTAGCGTGTGTATGCCACGCCAATTCGTATTTCTATTTTTGGCATGCTATAAACCACGCCTAATCGCTTTTCAGCGTGTTTATGAACGCCGTTGACTTAACGCAGAGATGCCCAAACTAGGGCCCGCGGGCCAAAAGTGGCCCGTGGTATCCTTTGATTTGGCCCGCCATACCGTCCGGGGAGAGAGCAGTGTTTCCGCTACATTCATTCCGCTGTGGCGGGCCGCCACACCTAAAATCCTCCCTGCACGGCTGCAGCTTCTGTATTGTGTTATTTTGTTGAGCCCCACTAAAGGCATAAAAAACTTTGTAAAGCACAATCGAGTTTTCGCACTATATTCCAAGACTTCTAAAGTCATTCAATAGCATAATGTGAGGTAAAATGAATATTTAAGTCGTAAAGTTAAGTCATCTCTCCTCAGTCATTCTCCATTCAGCATTCAAACTGCGCGTCGCGTTCGGTTGCGACAGTAACACGACGACACTCTCTTCAAGATCAATGTTCCCATTATAATAGGCTACTTTATTTGTAGATAAAGCATAAAGGTCTAAAATGACTTTATCTCGTTGGAGTTTATTGCCCTTTCTAAATCATATCCCTTTCTCCCAGGTGTCCGTAAGATTACAGCACTGGAGTCGAGTGCTATAATTGTTCTTCATGCGCACTGCGTAACTGAAATTTAAAAATGTTAAAAGAAAAGGCTAAAAAAAAACTGTTGCATAGATAGAATACACTAAGCATTAGTGCTGCACGATTAATCATATCATATAGCAATCGTAATAATAGCGTTTAGTAGGCTATATAACGCAAAATGCCACGATTTTATGAAATAAACAAATTAGGGATATTAACGCAGTACAGTAGGATATCTCTTCTTTTTTGTCATCCTTTGACTAGTGTTACATGATCCCGCTCTTATTCGTGAAAATGCCGTTTTGCATTTTGTACGACAAGAAGTCAAAAGAGAGCGCGCTGCCTGGATGTCCTGAATGAGACTCGCAGAAAGATGCGCCCCAGAATAATGCGTATATCAGACCGCGTACCAGAGAATGCAGTTCTCTTTCGAGCTTGAACGAACAATAACACACACAATTATGCCAAAATGTCGTTTTGTCGAGTATGTTAATAGCATAAGAAAAGTCTTATATGGACGAAAAGAGTTGTGCATGTGGGAGAATGAGGCGCGCGTGAGATCCGCGTCTCGGCAACTGCTTCTCTTGACTAAAGAACTTTAGTAGCTTTAATAAAGTCTGTATATAATTTATAATTCATGCAGCGCAGACTGTTTATTCAATTTCTGTATCCTACTTTTTAAGACAGGAAGGGCAGGTAAATATGGCACTTATGGGTTTATGTGAGTGAGGATTGTTTGAAGTTCACTTTATTTAAAAGCTGTTATTTTTTTTAAGCCTAATAATTTTTTTAAAAAGCTCGATCGCTTTGCTGCTTGTGGAGCCTTTCATATTATAATACTTAGGGGAGACAAGGGGGCGTGGCCTAAGGGAATATCACTCGTGGGCCACGCCCCCTCCCCCTGGGGATATGGGCCTGCCACCACAGCTTGGAAAAATCCTAGAGGAAACACTGGAGGGGATTTCTTTAAAATGCAAAACTTTACAAATAAAACTGCATTAGTTAATCAGATTGAAGTTGTTTAATATTTATTTTAAACATTATAAAATAAATAAACCCATAGCAACTTTAATGTAATACCGTTTGATTTATGATGCAAAATTTACTTTTGGCCCACGGCCCACAATCAAGTTTGATTTTTGGCCCTTCGTAGGAAAAAGTTTGGGCACCCCTGACTTAACGTTATTACTGTATATATAAATATATGACTTACCTCAACCCCGTCCCTAAACCTACCCATCACTGGGGTTAATGGCATTTATGACTGTTCCCTTACCATCCTAGGAAAGAAAAGATCACTCCCCAGATGTAGATCTACATTTTGCTTCGTTTCGCGCGGACATTTGACGGCGTGTACCAGTGTTGTAGTCGAGACCACCTCACTCGAGTCCGAGTCCAGACCGAGACCAGAGAGAGTCGAGTCCGAGTCGAGTCCGAGACCAGAGACGGTCGAGTCCGAGTCGAGACCGAGACCACTGAGGGTTGATTACCTAATTTACTTTTATTTACTTAGAGAAATCCTTTTTTTTTTTTTTTTTTTTTTTTTACTGAATTTACTTAGAGTTTAAAAAATATGATCAGTTTAGGGTAAAAAGGCCACATAGTAGGTGGTGTTAAAAGTAATTTTATTACAATTTGTCATGCGCAGTTGCGCACTAGAAAATCACCAATCACTGGATGTGTCAATCAATTTAAAGAAATATTTTATTAACATTAGGGCTGTCGCGGTTATGGAATTTCCCTTGCGGTAATATTGAGTGGATAGCGCGATATGCGGTATTACCGCCATTTATTTATTTAATTTATATGTTTTTGTTGCTATATAAATAAAGTTTACGATGTGGACAAAAACGAGGACATTTTCAGTAAGCATTGTAACCGAAACTAAACAGCGTCTACAGTATATGCGCATTGAAAAACTTTCACTCAGCGCGCATATTGTTATGACAACGGACTTTGAGCGAGTCATTGAACCGTTCATTCAACGAACACGTTTAAAAAAGCTGATTCATTAAAAGAGATGTAAAGAAACAATATGTTAATTATTTCTAACATTGATGTTCAACTTTTCGAGGCTCAGCTGAGCAGCAATGTGTCGCATAGGCAACGCTGAAGCTGATGCTTCACTTATTAGAGACCCATTGATTCAATGCGTGACTCACTGATTTTATTTCGGCTTCCTTGTGTTGTGGGATGCTGACCAGCGCTGCTGCTGACGCGCATTTATGGGAAAATACACGTGAAGAGAACGTTAAAATGATGATGCAACAAATATTTCGCTTCCCTTTGACACGACAAGCTTTTCACGACTTCAAAGACAGACGCAGGTAATCGCACGCGCTCTGCTGATCTCTCTCATTCACTGTCTGTGTGAAGCCTGTAGGCTACACCATGATAAACAGTCTTGTTATCATTATGAACTGGTTTAACATTCAATACACATGCATTACGTTCAAAACAAGAAGGGTATAGCCTTATAAAAAAAAAAAAAACGTGAATATCGCGGTTGCTGCGGTTACGTGCAATCCTCTGCGGTTGTCTTGTCAGAAGCACGGTACTACAATATTGCGGTTACCGCGACAGCCCTAATTAACATACATTAATAATCATGAAAAATATTTTGAATTGAACTCGAGTGGACTCGGGAATAAGTCCGAGTCCTAAAAAAAAAATGTTCGAGTCCGAGTCAATTCCGAGTCCAAATGCACATGAGTCCATGACAAGACCAAGACCATTAAAATATGGTCTCGAGACCGAGTCCGAGACGAGTCCGAGTCTCGAGTACTACAACACTGGCGTGTACAGACACGCGGAATGACGCGGACGTTAATGGCGTAGACGCATACACGCGGATACACGTGGATAGCTCAAAATGCGTAGCAATAACACGCCACTTGACTCGAAAGTGGCATGTATGTTTACGCAAAAGTCATGATGTCATGTTGCCCTTTTTCCCTACAGACCGATGCATCGGACAGGGGGCTGGGCGCAGTCTTGTCCCAGGAGATGGAGGGTGAGGAGCGGCCGTGCTGTACATCACTCGGAAGCTCTCGAAGAAAGAGACGATGTACAGCACCATTGAAAAGGAAGCTTTAGCCATCAATGGGGCCGTTCTCACCGTCCGTTACTACCTCCTGGGTCGAGAGTTCACCCAGGTGCACAGATGGCTGTGGCTGACTTTCTCTCCAGGAGGAGGGGGGAGAGGGGGAGGCTGCAGGCCGGACGGCTACCCAGCCTGAGTCGGGCGGTGGGGGTATGTGGCAAGGGGGGCGTGGTTCAGCGATGTCTTTAGCAGGAGAGCGGGGGCGGAGCCGAGCGGTGAGTATGTAGGTCAAGTGCAAAATGACGAACACCTGTCTCTGATAGCAGTAATTGGCGTAGGGAGACTGCATAAAAGCAGGCTGAAACAACCAGAGAAAAGCTGAAGTGAAAGAGTAGCTGATGCAACGGAAAGAGTTATATTTTAAAGTGTAAAGAGTGTTCTTTGAAGTGAACTGAGCCCAGTGCGCCACTGTTATATTGAGTGTAATAAAAGTGTACGAGTCCCAGTTACGCCGACCCCTGTCTTCTTCCATCACCCATACACTGAACCATCACTACACTCTTTTTTAAAGTGTGATAAAGGCCTATTGTCAAACATGTAGGTGATAAAAGAATATTGTGTATAATTTATACTGAAGCATAATGTGCTTTTCATATTATTTCTTCTGAACTTTGCATATAATGTCATTTTTTTGTCACAAAAGTATAGACTTTTTTTAGTAATGAAAAGTGTTTAATCCATGCAGATTTTTTGATCGTTACCTTGTGAATGGATTCTTCTTTTCATTTCTTCAAATTTCAGCATTTTTTTCATCTGTGCCTCCAGAAATGTCTCTTTAGAGAACAACTCTCGTTTGTTTTCCGCAACCATCTGCTCCAGTTTCTCCATTAACACGGACACTTGTGTGTCGGGGCCGATGAAATGATGTCGTCCTCCAAAACTCTCAATGACAGACTGTGTTTCTTCATTCAGTTCTTCTGTCTTTTCCTCTGAATTCTGGTTTATGAGGATCATGATGTGTTTGTTGATTCTTGAGCTGAATATCTTCTGGATCTTCTCCATTTCTGCTGTTTCTTCATTATTAAGTGGAGCATCAGGAATAGTGAGGAGGAAAACATGAACTCCAGGATCACAGAGAGACACACAGTTGAGAGTCTCCCGCATCACTTCCTCCTCTGAGAGACGAGTGAGAGCCGGAAGCTCTATTACCGTAATCTGCCGTCCATTAATCTTCTCCTCTTTCTTCACACACACTTTGCTCATCTCTCTCTGAGGTTTACTTGGTTTCCCTCTAAGTATTTTAGACACTGAGGTCTTGAGTGTTGTATTATTTCCACACAGCACAATGTTCAGCTTTGCTTTTCCAGAAGTAGTCACTGAAACAAATTCAAAACAGTAGACACTTCAGCTTTGGTACATTTTTTTTGTACATTTCCTTAAACAGCATAAAAAATATTATATTATAAAAAATGTTTTAGGTGAACATCACATTATTACTCAAACTGAGTCTGAATAAAAGTATTCAGCTGCATATCTTTTGTGAATGTCTCAATACTTTTTATACATTTTTCAACAAAAACAAAACATCTCGGGTTACTTGCGTAACCCATGTCCTCTGAATAAGGAAAACGAAACGCTGCATAGTGATGACACAATGGGAACGCCCTTGGGGAGGTAGTGATTGTCTGAACCCAGAATCATGCCAGCTGCGCTACGTCACTTACTCTTGTACAGTGAATGTGGCATCTGCTCCTCAGATTTTCCACCGAGGAACAAGCAGCGAATGGAGCTTGGCAGTGAACACAGCGTCTCGTTCCCTATTCAGAGAACATGGGCAAGTAAGCCAAAGACATTCTCTTTCATAGGTTCACGCGATGCTGTGTAGCGATGACAAAATGGGAAAGATATACCACACAAGCGAAGCGAAGCGTTGCAGGACCTGGCCCAACAAGGAACTCTCCTTTACCTTTTTTTTTTTTTGCCAGACCAAACTTAACTAGGACCTAAGCGAGAATGTCCGTGGAACCCAAGCTAGACCAAATGGAAGGGCCTGATACTTGTACGCCTTTCCCCTAAAGGTGAACCGGAGGAACTTCCTGTGCCGTGGAATGACCTGGATGCGGAAATAGACGTCCTTCAGGTACACGGTGACGAACCAGTCCCCTGTTCGAATCTGCGCCAGGATAGCTTTTAATGTCAGCATCTTGAACTTCCCTTTGTAGAGGGAAAAATTCAGGCGACATAGGTCCAATATGAAAAGCAGACTGAAGGAGGAACCTCATCTATCGCTCCCTTCATGAGAAGGGACGTTATTTCCTGCTGCAGAACAGAAGCTTCTAGCGCTGGTCATGACAGTGGGGTGAAGCCCAGTGAGGCAAGGAGGGTTGCGGTGGAACTGGAGAGTGTATCCGAGTATCAAGGCGAAACAAATATGCTTTAGCGGGAGGGAGGGACCCTTCTGAGATGGGGGAAGCTCTCCGTTTCCTGACATATGGATCACTTGTGCGACCACAGCATTAGTCAACCAAGCGGAGAAAGGCTGATTCCAGGGCCTAGAAATCTCCCAGTGAAGATCCCTGAAAAATAGCAGATTTCTTCTAAAGGGCCGCAAAGTGGATTGACCACTCAAAAAAACGCTCATCAGGCTTGGAGGACTAAGAATTGCGAGGCTCGTCCTGGCACTCAATGTTAAGTTTCTCAGTAGCACGTGTTAACACAGTGTAGGCCGCAGAAGGCCGCTGGCTACGCTGAATTATCCTCGAATTCAATGGAACTGGCATCGTAAGCCTCTGGACTGGAGCATAAATAATCATGTAGAAACTCCACCCGAGAATCAGCGCGGCGCACCCTCAGGCAAGAGAGAGTGGGAGAGGGATTAGCAGGCCTGCTCGCTGTCTAACGCCTCAAGCTCGACATCCAATCCCCAGGCCTCAGCTTCATGAAGGGCCTCGGCCACATCATTGACAGCAGGCGGATCTTTATCAAAGCAAGCAAGCCTCGCGCAGATAGTTTTAAGCCTAAAATTCTCACAGGACTCGCAGCTAGAAATAGCCTTGCGAGCATGTGATAAGCCGAGACATTTCACACACTAATGCTGCATTCACACCAGACGCGAACAACGCGTCAAATTCGCGTCTAGTTTGGCGCTTGACCACTTTGTGTTAATTCGCGCGTCAAGAGTGAAACTGACAAGCGTAAAAACAAAAGTTTGAAGCGAAATTTACACGCGTTGGAATCGAAACCCGTTGGCAGCCATCTTTTTTTATGTTGATCGAGCATTCATAGAGAGAGTCACCGCTCTGTATTTACTCTGGAGAGCAGAACAGCGGCGTGGGGATCATCGTCGCCGTATATTTGTGTCCACCAGACCCTTCGGAGGCGAATCATTTGGCGAGTTTCACCATTTGCTCCAGGAGCTGCGCTGGATGACGGTACTTCCGCCTGTCCCGCGGCCAGTTTGATGACCTGTTGTCCCACATCGGATCACCCTCGCCCTCATCCACTTAATCTGTCATTTATTTTTGTTTTGATGATAAATAGAGCTAGCATCCAAAAGTTATTAACCTGTCCTGTGATTTTTTCTCTCTCACGTCCAGACACGAACTTATGCACATGTATGTTAGTTGTCTTACATTAAATATTCTTTTAAATATTAATAGTCTTAAATATTATAAAAATATTTCATATAATCTAAATAGCATTCAATACAAAATAAACATGTCTCATATATTGAAATAAAGTTTTAAGTGATAAAACATTTGCTTTCTTGTGCATTAGAACCACACCAGGCATTTAGTCATATTACAAAATAATTTATTGAAGCATCCAGACACTTCACCACATGACAGCAGCAAGCAGCTAGGCTCCTGATTGGTTATCGCGGCGCGAATTGACGCCAAAGAGGCGGCACGCGAGAATTCGCGTCAAACGCATGAATGCACAAATAGCGCGTAACACGCTTACAATTTCTAATGTGCGCCACGCTCTACGTCTCATTAGCGCCGCAGGAATATTTTATGCGTGTATTAACGTGTCTTTGCATTGACTTACATTGAAATCACTCGCGCCTGATGTGCTATTCGCATCCGGTGTGAACGCACCATTACCGTGCGGGTCGTTGCTTGCAATGAAGCAAGAGCACTGAGGCTGGCAACGAATGCAGAATGCGGTCGCTGAAGCACAAAGACGAATTAAAGCTGCAAGCAGCGATGGGCGGGCCCTCGCACCTGTAGCGCGTCGGGGTGTGAGGCGGCCGCATTGAAAATTCTGGAGCTCAGCCGGTGCGGCTGTGAATTTGCTACGCTTCATTAAAGGTCACTTCCTGTTGCCAGCAGGTGGCGCTATGACTGTGGGTGAATGTCGGCATGTAGATTTGTTCAGGGTGGGACTCTTGTCAAATGTGTTAAATTTCATGCAGATCTGGGCATTTACAGCCAAGTTACTACAACTTCCTGTTTCATGGCGAATCTTCGACGCCACGGACACGCCCATCGACGAAAACGGGCAGATAGCACAACTTTACATCGTCAATGCCTGTAGAAGGCAGAGCAGAAATTTGAAGTCGATCCGACTAAATCCCTAGGAGGAGTTCGTTAAAGTACGGAGTGTGTAAATCGTCCCAAATCGGTCGCCAAATTCAAAATGGCGGACTTCCTGTCGAGTTTAGGGTATGGGTTCTTGAGGCTTTTTTGTGCGTCTGGTCATGGTAGATGTACCACAGAAATTTCGTACATGTCGGTCAAACAAGTGGCGGGGGCTGCTTCGTTAAAGGTAACTTCCTGTTGCCAGCAGGTGGCGCTATGACTGTGGGTGAATGTCGGCATGTAGATTTGTTAAGGGCGGGACTCTTGTCAAATGTGTCAAATTTCGTGCAGATCTGGGCATTTACAGCCAAGTTACTACAACTTCCTGTTTCATGGCGAATCTTCGACGCCACGGACACGCCCATCGACGAAAACGTGCAGACAGCACAACTTTACATCGTCAATGCCTGTAGAAGGCAGAGCAGAAATTTGAAGTCGATCCGACTAAATCCCTAGGAGGAGTTCGTTAAAGTACGGAGTGTGTAAATCGTCCAAAAATGGCCGCCAAATTCAAAATGGCGGACTTCCTGTCGAGTTTAGGGTATGGGTTCTTGAGGCTTTTTTGTGCGTCTTGATATGATACACGTCCCCACCAAATTTCGTGCATGTAGGTTGAACGTGGACGAGGGGCTAATTTTTTCCAATTTTCTAGGTGGCGCTAGCGTGCCATTTTGCCCCGCCCGTCTGTGAAACCCACAAAATACGAAATTTTTCACCAGTCCTGACATGCATGCCAAATTTGGTGAGTTTTTGAGCATGTTGCGGCCCCGAGAATGGCACTTACTTTGCAGAAAAAAGAAAAAAAATAAATAAATAAAAAAAATAAAAAATAATCCTAACAGTTTCAATAGGGTCCTCGCACTGTTAGTGCTCGGGCCCTAAAAATTTGGCCAGGAGCAGATGGCGCGTTCACTGCATAAGAGTGAGTGACGTAGCGCCGCTGAATTGGTGTGATTCTATATGGGTTCAGACAATCAGAACCGCCCCAAGGGCATTCCCATCGCGTCATTGCTATGCAGCGTCGAGTGAACCTATGAAAGAGAACAGATTAGTAAAGAGAATTAATAATAGTTCAAGTCATGCAGTAGGTGCTGCGGGAGACCCAATTTCCAAATTTTTCTCCTTGTCATTTTTTCTGTCTGTACTGTAGCTATGACTATGAAAGGACAAAAAAATAGTTCATGGTTATATTGCTAGTATTATTCTGGGGGAAAAAAGACTTTGACAAACCTCTTCCATCACTTCCTGTTTTGATGCTCTGATAGATTTGTCCACCCCCTTTGTGATCAGAATTCTCCGGATCTTCATCCACTGATGTTCCTCCATCCTCATACCTGTTACAGACGAGAAATTCTCCATGTACTTCCATGAGTATCTTCTCTATCCTGCTGAACATCTCAGAGCGCCATCCTGCGTTTCTTGTTTCAAACTGAAGATGTCCTCCTCCACAGTCCTTTATTAAATTTTGAATAGCGTTGTTTGTTACCAGATTTGTCAATTTGGATATGAATGTGTCATCAGTAGTCAGCACTATGGTGTGTTTAATGGCCTTCACACTGAAGAGGTTCAGCACATATTTCACTCTTTTCAGGTCCTCCTCAGTGAAGTCTTTATTCTGCAGGACGAGTAAGATCACATGAGGTCCTGGAGCAGACTGAGACACACACTCTTTCACTCCCTGTGTGATCTGAGGCTGTGAGAGATGTGGCTGGAGAAGATGAGGAGTGTTGATGACTGTGATGTGTCTCTTTTCCACCGTTCCACTGATTATCTCACTGTGCTGCTGTGAAGAAGATGAAGCTTCACTGTGAAACGCTGCTGTTCCCAGTATAGTGTTTCCCACTCGGCTGTTTTCTGAGCCATTCTTTCCCAGCAGAACAATCCTCACTGAAAAAGAGCAAAGTCACTTACACGTTGTCATAGGAGCCCATTTGAAGTTGGAGCTCATACTGGTATTCAATGTTATAGAAGTTATCATTGATGTGAGTGTCTCTTCATCAGTAGTCAGCAGCACTATACAGGTCCTTCTAAAAAAATTAGCATATTGTGATAAAGTTCATTATTTTCCACAATGTAATGATAAAAATTAAACTTTCATATATTTTAGATTCATTGCACACCAACTGAAATATTTCAGGTTTTTTATTGTTTTAATACTGATGATTTTGGCATAGAGCTCATGAAAACCCAAAATTCATGAAGTCTCAAAAAATTAGCATACCATGAAAAGGTTCTCTAAACGAGCTATTAACCTAATCATCTGAATCAACTAATAAACTCTAAACATCTGGCAAAGATTCCTGAGGCTTTTAAAAACTCCCAGCCTGTTTCACTAAATCCGCAATCACGGTTAAGACTGCTGACGGCCATCATTGACACCCTCAAGCAAGAGGGTAAGACACAGAAAGACATTTCTGAACAAATAGGCTGTTCCCAGAGTGCTGTATCAAGGCACCTCAGTCTGTGGGAAGGAAAAAGTGTGGCAAAAAACGCTGCACAACGAAAAGGAGGTGACCGGACCCTGAGGAAGAATGTGGAGAAGGACCGATTCCAGACCTTGGGGGACCTGCGGAAGCAGTGGACTGAGTCTGGAGGAGAAACATCCAGAGGCAACATGTGCCGCATTCCCCAGGTCAAGACACTTTTGAACCAAAACCAGAAACGGCAGCAGAAGCGCCTGACCTGGGCTACAGAGAAGCAGCACTGGACTTCAGGCATTTTGACATTTCCTTCTCCCCAGTCTTCCTCCAGACTCTGGCACCTTGATTTCCGAATGACATGCAAAATTTGCTTTCATCCGAAAAAAGTACTTTGGACCAATGAGCAACAGTCCAGTGCTGCTTCTCTGTAGCCCAGGTCAGGCGCTTCTGCTGCCGTTTCTGGTTTAAAAGTGGCTATATTTTCTAGTCCAGTGGTTCTCAAACTTTTTCAGGAGGAGGCCCCCTTGTGTAGGGTGAATCCTTTTGTGGCCCCCCAAAAGAAAACTCATAACGAAAACATCCACAAACGTACAATTTTACTTACAAATTTTAGATTGTACCAAAAACAAATGAATTTGTACAATGCTGGAACAACAGCTCTGTTTTTAGCTTTATGTCTTTGAATATACAAAATTTGTTAAATTGTACATTTCATTAAATATAACATTTTTTTTAATAAAAAATGGTTTTGACAGTTAACAGTAATATTGTCTGAAAAGTGCAACAAAAGTATTGAATACTGAACATTTGTGATGTTCATAGTAAAAGATAAACACTGAAAAATTAATTTGCTGATTGTAAAAAAGTGCATTAAACTTCTTACATTTTAAGGTAGTAAATGACAGTGGCTCAAGTTTGGTTTGCAAATTTGAACAGCAATCTGTTTTTTCAGCAAGAAACAAAAAAAAAATTCTACTCTACTTAAAGAAATACTTTTTCAATATAGAAGACATACAATTTTATACAAGTTTTACAATATAAAAGAAATCATGCAATGCAGATTTCACATAGGACAATCCAAACTTACATACAGGTAAAATAATTTTTTTAACAATTATTAATAATAATTTCATATTCTAGAATTTCTTTGCGGCCCCCCTAGCGCCATCTAGTGGCCCCCCAGGGGGCCAAGGCCCCCAGTTTGAGAACCGCTGTTCTAGTCGACATTTTATAGTGTAGCAAACTGTCTTTACATTTACTGTTTTACTTGAATTCATTCTAAATAACAAATCCTTTAATTGACTTTGGATTGGTTCTACATTTATTTCTGTAATTTTTTTTTTTTTTAGGTATTTGAAAAGGTCTTGTGATACTCTGTGGTTATAGAGCCACCTAGAGGTCAAGAGCTGCAAATGCATGTTGTGTTTGAGAAGTTAATGGTATTTTTTTCTGAAACAAACTCAGTTTTTGGTCTGTTTCTTACACAAATCTACATGATTTCAAAAGTCTTGGAATACAGCACATATTATATGCATACAAGTTGGATGTTGTTTTTTATTTAAAAAAATATATTTGTAATCATTGTTAGGATATCAATGTTTGCATCTCCTTTTCTAATCATTTCTTGTACACCCTATTTTAGTCAAACACTCGTAAGATCTATAATTATGAAAGGAGTTCCCTCTCTCTATTCTTTCAGCCTAGCTGACAGTCTCCTTTCTTTTCTATATGGACTTTGTATTCAATTAGTTGGTTTCAGCCAACACCTAGACTTGATAAATTATGGCATGAGCACAATAAAGCTGACTTTTAGTGAACTGCACTTCCGTGTGCGTGTCATCATTATTGGTCCCCACATCTGGTGTTCTGGCATTATTGCAATATGAAAAACATCAGTTTGGATGTAGTCCAGCAGTCTTAGTTTTCCACAAATGAAAACATAATTTTAGAGCAACAGCATTTTCATTTCAATATTTTTCTTTTTTTTTTTTAAATCTATGAAATTTGCCAGTGATGTTTTATAAAAGGGAACACATGAATATATAAACAAATATATAAATATGTTTCGAGTGTAAAGCTTTTTAAAGACAGAGTGTCTGCAACTCAATCTGCCTGTCATTTAATATACTTACTGTCATTAAAATCTGCAGTGCTTCTGCCTGCTGCTGAAAAAAACATAAAATAATTTAATATTTCTGCACTGAAACACAATCAACACAAACAACAAAATCTATTACACAAAAATCGACTCCTATAATGATCTATAAAAAAAACTACTACAATGTTTCCTACTTATTAAATAGGCCTAATTTACTTGATTTTATTTTCACCGCATATGATGCGCGCGAAAAGTGACTCGTCCAACATTTCGCGACCATTTGTTGATAAAGAAAAATGTTATGTCGCAATATTGGAAATATTTCCGTTTAATGAATGCGAGTCACACACGCAATGCGCAAAATGCGACATTATTTCGGTGAAGAAACCTCAAACCACAGTCACTCACAAAAGAAAGTGAAAGTAAAAACTTATAGGCTACTGATAATGATTAATGATTCATTTATGTTCTTAATTTTTCTCGTGTAGCCTAGTGGAATAAATGAGAAGAGGAGTATTTTAAGTTACACTTGTGTTGTGTAAATGAGGACTAAGCTAATCTAACACAATTTATTTTCCAGTTATCACCGTTAGTTAAACGGCAATGTTGTTGTGGGGCAAATTAATTTTAATTTAACAATAAAAGCATGATAATCAATCCTATCATATTGGGATTGAGATAATCATGGGTTATGCTTAAAGAAAAAAAAAACGGAGCGGAAGATCTAATAGCCTAACCTATTTTTAATGCGTTATTTTTTTAAAGTTAAAGATTAAGGCAGATAACAGATTTGACGTATATCGAAACATTTCATTTGTATAAAAGTAGCTATGTGAGATCAATATAGGCTATAGCCTACCCTGCGTCCTACTTCCCATTTTCAATGTCACTTTTAAACATTTATGTAGGCCTAAAAGCGCGACCAGATATAATTTAATGAATTTAACGAAGTAAACCATTGCAGTTGGCTAATATTCCATAATTCATAAATACATTGATGCAAAAATACTTAGCCTATATCTAATTAGATTCTTACCCGAACTCGACGCAATTTCAAAAGGAAAACCTTGACATCAAAAAGCGAAAGAAAAGCGCTTAAATACGAGAGCTGAGCTGCGTACGCAGAAGTCCGGTGAAGAAAGGGATTTTATCATGGGCGTCGGAACACTATGGGTGGACAAGACAAACCCAGTTTTTATGACCAATAAAATTGGAAATTATAAGGTGCGTTCCATTTATGCAGCCAGGATTGTGTCTTTATTACGTGCGATCAAATAAATGATCTCAGAAGAAAAAAATGTTTGAGAGAAAAAGTTATCACACTGATAGCAAACATGCATTTCATGAGAGAAAAAAAATATTTGAGAGAAAAAAGTTTTCATATCAATAGCAAAAAATAATTTGAGACTAAAAAAGTTGAGAGAAATTGTTTTCTCATAGAACATAAAAACATAAATTTGACATTTTTTTAAAATTATTTCTGAGAAAAAAATATCTCTCAAAATACTTCCAAATATATAGCCTATATATATTTTCCTATCAGTGTGGGGAAAAAAAATAGATGCCGCCTCTGATTTAGTCGAGCTAGAGCTTAAATTATCTGCCCGACCCGGCCCGCTGATATTTCCTGTCAATATTTCCTCGGCCGGGCCCTTGATCTAGACTAGAGACGTGCACTCCCTAGCCAATAGAGTGCGGCACGGGACTAGATTTGATGGCCGAGTGCAGGCGGTAATGCACTCACTCTGTGTGTGCGGTTTGCGGGAGAATAAAACGATTTGCGGTACTCCCGCAAACTAGAAATATCGATGAATAAAACATATAAAATCTAATACATTTTTATTCATCTGTTGCAGAAAAGCTTTTTAGGAATGATTAAGGGAGCACACTTTGCACGCATTCAGTCATGCCAAACCATGCACGCTTGTTTTTGTGTGATTGTGTATGATGGCGACCATGTACTGTAAAAAAGATGGACGACGCCCCTTCGCTTGTTTCATCAGAGAGAACTGAAGCCGCCAGTGTCCCGATATATGGCGCTGACATCTTGGAACTTGAGTCTGCGCACTTGCGTTTTCGGGACGACATGCGCAGTCGTGAGCAGGAAGTAAAGCCGCGAAATCAAGGCCCCGATCGCGATATTTTTTTCACAGGATGGTAGGGGAAGACTCATCAATATTCATTAGGGAACTCATCCCTGATTGGTCTTAACCCCAGTGACGGGTAGGTTTAGGGGCGGGGTTAGGGGTAGGTCAGACCAATCAGGGATGAGTTCCCTAATGAATATTGATGAGTCTTCCCCTACCATCCTGTGAAAAAAATATCCCTCATTCTATATCGCCCTCATCCTATCCAACCTCATCCTATATCGCCCACAAAAAAAATTGCCCTCATTCTCGCTGAATCAAACGCAAGCACACACCCCGCACTTTCATTAAGTGTCCTCTGTCTGCTTCGTTCTTCTCCAGTGATGTCCGCTGATTGCAGAACCTCGTTAAAATGAGGTAAATACAACTACTAACCACATAGTCAACATTATAAAAAAAAAGTCTGTCCGCACAGAGAACCTGTCAATCACAATGCAATTGAAATTACATCAACGTGATAGAAACTACAACAAATAAGAGAAACTATCTTTGGAAAAAGGATACGTGAAGTGTAATTTACTTGTTTAGTAAGTCTTGAATAACATGGGGAGGCGGGATTCATGACCTATCTTAGGACCGGCCACCAGGGGGCGATCAAAACGTTTTGGCTTCACTTTTGAGGGCTTAAATCGGGCTAGGGCTCATAATAACAGTTAGTAGCTGTGTCCCAATGTGAAGGCTGCATCCTCTGAAGGCCGTATTCGAAGGCCGGTAGCGTCATTGCAGCGCGACGAAGGCTTCCCTGATTCAAAAGCGACGCCAAATGCACCCTTCATTTCCCCGTGAAAGAGAGGATACATAAATGGACCCTAAGCGGCCTGTCCTACCCCATAAATCATTGCGCGGGTGACGACAGCATTTTTATTTTAAGAAAAAAGGGTGGCCGAGAGTTCGGTGGTGGACGGCAAATTCACATTTAAATGTTAAAGTATTATGTTTTAATTTACTCAAATAGCCAGAGAAACCAGCGTTAAAGCCACAAGGTTTTTTTGGTTTTTTTTTATAACGACATTATAGCCTACATTGTACATTATTTCTTTATTATTCATTATTTCAAAATTTTATGCAACTTTAAATGTGTACATAAAAGAGAATTCATGGCTCTAGATATTTGTTTATTTTTGTAAGGGTCTCTGAGTGTTTGCAAGGTTGATGCATTTAAACTATATACTTTTGAGTAGTTTAATGTAAAATGTGTAGTCAAGTGTTGCTGTTCTGTGAGGGGAAAAGTAGGCTACTTCACATTTGTACATTAAAGGGTTAAATATCCCAAGTGACTACAGTGGCTCAACTATAAGTTAATCAAGCCACGAGAATACTTTTTGTGATTTAATATACAGTATATATATATATATATAATATATATATATTGCCCCCTCATTTAAAGACAGGAAAACATAAAATATCAGGTAAAATATAAAACAAAAAAATGACAATAGCCAATACTGTCTCCATCTGTTTACTCAATTTTATTAAATAAATGATCAGGGTGGTAGCTGTACTCTCGCACCGTTGCTTGGTGCCAGGAGCAGTAATAGGGAACACCTGGTTGCGCAATTGGGAAATCCCACGAAGGCTACATGGTGCGTCCTTCGAAGGATGCAGCCTTCACATAGAGAGCCTAAGCCCCTCCCCTTCCGGTCGACAACCATGGGACCTTATTTCGGAAAAATATTGTATGGTAGTCAATGGCGAGAGACAACAAATATTTTGATCTCGTTTGAATTGTGCCCTTAATTACACATATGATGTTTATCAATTTAAAAGATACATTTTAAAGTAAAGTAAAGAAAGTCGCAGTTTGATGTGAATCCGTTGAGGTATAAGACTGTGAAAATACGTAATTACAAAGACTACAAATCCCAAAGGCGCACATTTTCTCTCAATGAATGAAACCAACTTTACTGAGGCTATTGTCTGTCATTGTTTCTATAATCTTACGTTATAATCGTAACGTCATGCCGTCAGTGTTTTGTACCAGACTGCACACACACGAGCAGCGGATCTTGCTCGGTTTCGCTTCCCGGGAGATGTAGTTCATTGATGAACATCAGCTATGCTAATTATTTCCCATCTGCCTTTCTGCTGTTATCTCGGGACGCTTGTCCCGAGAAAAATGGCGTTCGTCAGGTCCAGTTTTGTGTCCAGCCTCTCACGGGGATTTCGGATCCCCCAACGCCTGTGAAGAGACGACTCAACGCCTGCGATATGTTATGACGCCGTTTTATACATAAACAATATTTATATTTAATATTTATATATAAACAATATGAATGTAAGCCAGAGGAGAACTGGCCCCCGACTGAGCCTGGGTTCTCCCAAGGTTTTTTCTCCATCCAATCTGATGGAGTTTTGGTTCCTTGCCACTGTCGCCTTGCTTTTGGCTTGCTCAGTTGGGGATATTTAATATTTAATAATATTATTATCTGTGTTGTACTACTTTCATGTTATCACTGTGAAGCTACTTTGATACAATCTGTATTGTGAAAAGAGCTATATAAATAAATGTGACTTGACTTGACTTGAGCGATTTTCACATAAAACTAAATGTTACTCTTCTGTTTTATGACAAATTGCGACGTTTTTGACTTTCAGAATTATCTTTTAAATTGACAAACATCATACGTGTAATTCAGGGCACAGTTCAGACGGAATAGAAAGATAAGTTGTCTCTCGCCATTGACTACCACACATATTTTTTCTGAAATAAGGTCCCATGAGCCGGAAGCAGAGGGGCGGGACTTAGGCTCTCAATTGGGACCAAGCGGCAACATTCTTAATCTGAAAGCTGAAGCCTAACCGGAAGTGCGAAAAACTGCAATACATCTCAGATCCGCTAGAGGGCAGACAAATCCATAGACGTCATGTTAAAATATCCGTTTTCACGGCAAAAATTCATATGTTTACAGTTTGGTCCCATGGACTTTTATTGTAATCTTCAATATGTTCCGCGTGCCTGACAACTGTGAGGGGGCTGAATTGATCATATTTAGATATAAAATGTATGACAAATAAGGGCTGTTGACTTTGATTGACAGCTGATAACGGGCTGCGCCGAGTGAATTTGACGTCTCGGCCATGATCTGACACAACACATCATACCACCTCTGTATCCTTTCTGAAACTTTTGTATTTCCCAAGATTTTCCAGTACGGCGCCGCCCATACCCCCCATAAACAGCCTCAAACCCGTTCTTCAGAGAGTCTATCGGTGACGTCACAGATGCTTTGTCCATATTTTTTACAGTCTATGATTGGGACACAGCTTATGCCGAGTTCAGACTGCACGATTTTAGCCAGGATTTTGGCTCGCCGACAGGTTGAGAAATCGCCGACAAATGCCCGAAATCACAGGCAAATCGGCGCTCGTTCACGCGAGTGACAATCACGCAGTGTGAATGAGCAAAGACGTGTTCTGAGAGAATCACCAATGAGTCGCGTGAGATATTTGGCATGCTAAATATCTGGACCTGTCGGCGATTCAAAATCCTGCTGTGTGAAAAGTGTTTTGACTGAAAACTACATCGGCGATTACCAGCAGCCAGTAAGAGAGCAAGATACAGAGCAGCAGGGAGTTCGGGGAGGAGTTATAGATCACATATCAACATATGGCATTGTTTAAAGGGTTAGTTCACCCAAAAATGAAAATTAAGTCATTAATTACTCACCCCCATGCTGTACCAACCCCGTAAGACCTTCGTTCATCTTCGGAACACAAATAAAGATATTTTTGATTGAATCTGAGGGCTGGATAACTCTTCCATAGACAGCCTGAGGGACTGCCTCTTGACGGCCCAGAAAGTCATTAAAAGAAAAGGTTTAAATATTCCATGTGCCTACAGCGGCTCAACTATAACTTTATCAAGCGACGAGACTACTTTTTGTGCGAAAAAAAAACGTAAATAACGACTTTATTCGACTTTCCATTACTTCCTTATGGGCGCATGCGCGAGAACTGAGACGAGACCGTTCTTCTTCGTC